GCCATGTCTCAGGTAACCATCTTTGACATTTTGTATAATTTCAAGGATTTGATTTAGTTCTAAACTGTGTTTAATAATCTCTGGTTCAGGTGTATATAACTTACTTACATTTAGAGTTTAAATACTTTGCCCAATCATAGACACACAGTGTTATTTGTGGTATCTTAAAGTATCTTGCATGATCACCAGCTGACCATATCTTTTTCTAACCTTGAGTCTTTTCTTTTAACACCATGCAGACAGCTCAAATACAAAAGTAATCCAAATAAATTATGTGGGCCAAGTGAACCAAGTCACCAGCCTCTTGGTGTATATCCATGATACAATTCAATTCTTCCCACATGACTGGGAATTTTAAATGTTCTAATGTATCCCACCTAGGCTCTAGTCACACTCCAAAAACTTATGAGTGTACCCTAGTCTTTATGCTGTATCTATCAGCCTCATGCATGAGGACACTGCTGGTTTGTGCACAAGCATCTCAATCAAAACCATCAAGATAGGTGAGAGGTGTATAGCCTACACTCTAGGTTATATAGTGAGCCAGAAAGTGAAACACATAACTTAATTTTTTCCACTACTTCTTAATTTCTTCACAGCTCATCTGCACTACATTTTGACCCTTCTCCTGAACTCTCATTTAAAAGAATAAGAAAGCAAAACAAAACAAAACACTAGCTTCATATTCCTTTTTTTTTGTTTGTTTTCCCACAAGCCACATTTTGATTAATTTTGTTTGTTAAAATGTCCATTTGCAAGACAGTTGCAATTGATTCAGGAATGATAAAGTAAAAAAAAAAAAAAAAAAAAGACAAACCATGCTTATACAAACCTGCTTTGAGATCAAAGGTTGAGGGCTCTGTCTGAAAAGTCATGACATCAACAAAAGTCATTGAAAGTTAAGGTTATTTTTTCTACTGGCTTAGTTGGAAACTTTCTGAAAATGATCAATATTTCAATCTAATAGAAAGGGAGAAACATGGAAAAGGAGTTCTGATACAACCAATAATATTGTAAAGCACTTTGTCCCACCAATAATGTTAAAACAATGGCACTCAAAGCAGTCATTCCCTTAGAGTTAACTGTGTCTTCTACAATGGGTTATTTCTGTCCTTCCTTCACTATGCATTTTCAGTCTTAGCTTTCAAGTGACTGATGTAGGAGACTGCTATTTTCTTCAGGGATATTTCTTCTGAGTTTGGTCCTCTCTCACATAACTGAATAATGCATTTAAGAAGTATAAACAGAAATTGATTCAGAAACTTTATCGGGTAAATGAAACCATTCAGCATGATGATATGTTGACTGACCTGGCAATTAATCTTGAAGAAGTAATACTGAAGAATCTCTTTTATATTTCTCCAACTACAAGATAATAAGACAACAGTTTCTGAAACTCTCAGACAATTATGTTGAATATCATCTGTTACAAGTTTACCCATTAAGCTACTACTGATATACATAATTTGAATGAATAACTAACACAGTATTTGAAGCACTTTTCAGTCCGCATTTTCTCCAATGATAATATTTCTATGTTTGGGAAAAACTGAGGATAATAATAAAATGTTTCCTGTAATTTTCATTGGCCATTTCCATACAGCTTCAGAGCATTTTAAACATTAAACAAATATCTGGGTGATTTAGTGCAATGGTATTTTACCAATATATACCGTGAATTCTTCCCTTTCTGACTTGTTCCCAAATAGTGAAAAAAGAAGTACTCATGCAGTAGCCAGTTCAGAAGTCCTGTCCATTACACTGAAATTCCTGTACCATAAATCACAAAAGTCATACAAATCTGAACTGAACATACACATGGAATAAGTTTCAGTCAAAGAAATTATCCTGCTTTACATATATACCTACAGAAACTTTTCTAAATACAAAAACATCTATTTGAGGAAGTCCATAATCATCTAGAAATGCTCACTCTGGACCACACATGAACAAAAATATAGTGAAAAATGCTCAACAGAGAAAGGGTTTACCTCTTTACTAAGAGTTACCTCTCTTTGGGAAGAAACTTTTATATGTGGGAGACCTAGAAAACAGCTCATGGCTAATAAAGGCTATGGTTTCTTGCTGCCCTAATGAGTTTTGCCACCAGCTTAAGAAACTGTGAAATGTTATCTTAACATCTTTTCTACTTGAGTAAAGTAGAGAAATCCTTTTCTTTTCCATTAGACAAAATCTGATCCCACTCTTGTTACAGTTTGTGTCATCTCAGTTTACTAGTAGATCTGAAAGATTGTATATTCAATGGAATTGTTCTAAAGTTATAAAGTAACCTGGCATAACCAAAAAAACTAGTAAAGCAATGTAACAACACACCCCTCTGCAGTTTTATCTGTACAATTATGCTCAAAAAGATATGTAACACCTAATTTAAAACTTTATCAATGCTAAAGTTCCATTCAGTCTTCTGCAATGGCATGTAAGAGGCTACCATGCATACAGAAATATTTCTATGGCAACAGTTTAAAGTCTAGGCTATTCTTAGATGAAGTGTTTTCAGAGAAAAAAAAAAAAAGTATTTTGCAGTGTTCTGTTTTGTTTCAACTGACTAACTATCTGTTTCAACTAACTAACTAATTATCTGTTTCTTTCATCTATGTCCTTTCTGAAACAAAAGAAATCTATTATGATGAATGAAACAAGAGAGAAGTAACTTAATGTGATATATGTTATGCTGGAAGTTATGAGATTCTTCTTGAATTAGCAGAAAAGAAAAATCATGTACTGAGAAGGATATTATTCAGGCTTCTAATGTTAAAAGTATTATTAAAACAAGCTTGATATAAATTAAAACATATACAGTTGTTGTTGCTGTTTTTAATGACAGACAGCTAACTATACGTTTCACATATTTGCACTTCCTTATCCTTCAATGCATCCTCTTTCCTTCTTTCTTTCTTTCTTTCTTTCTTTCTTTCTTTCTTTCTTTCTTTCTTTCTTTCTTTCTTTCTTTCTTTCTTTCTTTCTTTCTTTCTTTCTTTCTTTCTTTCTTTCTTTCTTTCTTTCTTTCTATCTTTCTTTCTTTCTTTCTTTCTTTCTTGGGAGTGTTTTTGTTTGTTTGTTTGTTTGTTAATATAATGACCTTGGAAGTGCAAATTTTACAAATAAGATAAACACTGTAATTCAAAACTTGATAATGATGTGGTCTCAGAGAGTTAGATGATCTATGTGTCTGAAGGGAGAGTATCTGACAGAATAAACACATGGAAGTGTTAAAATCAGAAAGTGTCACAGAAATAAAAAGGGTTGTTTTTATATATATATATTTTTCCCCCACCTGCAACACAGAAACATTCATAAATGCATGGCTTCAATATCCCAATTGAACCAACATTTCTATGAAAGTGTGCTAATGAACTAGCACTTTAAGGAAAGTGGAGGATCAAAGTTACAAGCTTATTCTATATCTCAATGATGAATCATAATCATATATGTTTAGTATTATATGATCTGGATTGCATGCATGTCTGGCCTCAGCCAGTGACTTGGCATATTTAATATACTATATCTTTTATTTTAACCTCCATAACAGTGGCTGTAACATAATAATGATTTTTAGCATGGTGTGTATTCATACTGCTCTCACTTCTTCAATTTTATCACTGCAATATCATGGAAAAGGCAGCATGATTTAAGTGGTAGTCCAGTGTATTTTCTTATTCTTAAATATTTTGGGGAGGCTATGCTTAAATTGAAGTTGATGGCCTCTTAAGAGCAGAAATACTGCCTTGTTGCATTTTCTTTTTCTTCTCAAGCACAATAACAAACTAGTGACTCTACTGCCATCACCTTGTCTTATACAGCATGCCTCTGTGGAACAATCAGTCTAACAAAGCAGGAGGAAATAAAGAAGGGTCCTTGGAATTGAAATGATTTATATAATTAAACAGGACACTCTGTTTCCAGAGCTGCACAATCAAACTTCAAGGTATTTTCTAGGAGACTGCAGACTTTTCCATATTGATAAAGGATTCTGTAAGAATGATCTATTCCTCACATTTAATACTTCAGTAACACCTGGGATTAGGCTTCTGCCTCGTTTTCAAGAGTGTATCAATTGCAGTGTCTGTGTATGTATGTCTGTTTTCTCATTGTATATCCCAAAGGTGGGCATTTTCTATAAAGCAAACCGAGTCAGTATTTGAAGTTTAGCAAGTCCCTTATGGTGTTTTACTCTTTAAAAGGATTCTCTGCCTGAAGAAAGCTAGAAGCAACGTGACTGAAATTCTCTATATCTCCACTGGGACTCGAGCTCTGAGTGACAAGTGATTTGAAGGGGCTTTTGCCTCTACGAGTATTACAGGGGTTAGGGGCACTTTCCCATACACAAACAGGAACAAATGCAAGTTGCCTGAGTCTAACCACAACCCTGCACTGTGTTTGTTTCAGCATCTAATATTAAAGATGCAGCAATCCAGAGCAGGGATGGGAAATTCCTTTCACTAATTAGTTTTCCCATTTTCAGTAGCTGCTGAAGCCCAGCTGCATGCAGTAGCCTCACCTCGTCAGCAGTCCAGCAAACTGCATACAGGACTGAAGTGCTGACCAGTGAAAGCTGTCTCTGGTTTAATGAGACCGAGGTAGGCAGAGTCAATTTAATCAAATTCCCACTAACACCCTTATATATCTGCAGTGTGTGCAGAAGGGGTGGCAGCAGCAGCAACAGCAGCAGCAGCAGCAGCAAGAGATTCACAGTATTAATAAAGGGATTCACTGCCACATTACAAAGGAGAGAGAGAGGGAGAGGCAAGGAAGAGGAGGCAGGAAACTTCTGTGTGTTATTTACATTGGGAAAGAGTGTTTATGCCTCTGCGTGTGAATGAATGAGAGAGAGGAAGGGGGAGAGAGAGAGAGGGAAGGGGGGGGGGGAGAGGGGGGAAGGGAAAAGCACACACAGAGAGCACTGAAAGGAGGCTCTGTCCCCTAAACCCAAATAACCCACTTGCAAGAGCTGGTACTGGAAAAATGGTAAGGACCAGGAGTTGAAAACATTTTCACTTTAATACTGAAAAAATATGCCATTATAAAATCCTCGAATAGAATTAGTAAGTTTCACTTGCTTCCTCAGTTCTGATTTCCTCAAGTTATAGTAAGATTTACAACAGCACAGAATTTTCTACCATTAAACTTTGCAGCCTAAGCACTAGAGTGACATTAATTGGTCATGCTTAACTGCCTGGATTTTTTTTTTTCTTTGAATGTTTACACTGTTACCATAATATAAATCAAGGGTACTAATTTTTACATTCAGATGGAAAGGCAATACTGAATATGTATATTGAAAAAGAAGAGAGAGAAAACAAAATCAAAGCCTCCCCCCTCCCCCAAACAAAGAAATTAAACCCACCATCAAGAAAACAGATATCTCCCAATAAAGTCATCCCCTCCTCAATGAAAAAAAAAAAATCAGATGAGAATATTCATGCAACTATGTCTTAAATAAAACCTTTACACTTTTCCACAGTAAAAGTACGATTTCTACTGCCTATTGATCACACAAAAATGGCGAAATGGCACTTTTATTATTATACTGTATTTCTTATATAGAAGGTTTGATATGAAGGGACTTATCAGGTAAGAGGGATGATGGTGTGAACTAGACGTTGCTTCCAGTTGGGGGCTGGAGCGTCCCTGGGGTGCGTTGTATCCATGCGAGCCATGCAGCACTTGTTTTTTTTTTGTTTGTTTGTTTGTTTGATTGTTTGTCTGTCTTTATTTTTAATTATTATTATTTTGCTTTTGTTCATTTGTCTGTTTCGGAGTCGGAGTCATTTATTTACATTACATTCATGCCTTCGTGCAACTTTCCGCTCCTGCTTTGCTCTCAGAAGGATGCTGACACTAGCCTTTCCTCCGTCCCCCTCCTCTTCCTCGCCTTCCGGAGAGGGCTGCGTCCAAAAGGGAAGAAGGCGGAAAAGCAAAACGACTCCCAGCACAACAACACAAAAGCCCAACAAAACCAACGGCCGTGGTTCTCGCTGCCGGGGCAGCAGGAAGAGTGCCTTCGCTCGTCCATTGCCGCCCCGGCGGAGTACGGGCGGGAGATGCTCCCGTCGCGGGGGGCTGTGCCGATCTGGGGGGGTTGCGGCCCGGCGCCGGCCTCCCCGCAGCGAGCACCGGGCACAGCGCTTGCAGTGGGGGACAAGGGCGAGTGCGCGCGTTTTTTATTTCTCACATAAAGAAGCCGAGGTGCAGAGACGTTCCTGACTGGCGTGTACCTCCCTAGCAGCGCAGGGCCGGTCCCCGGGTGGCGGCCGCCCCCGCCCCCGCCTCAGTCCGACAGGGAGTGGGAGCCGCAGTCGTATACCCTGTGGGCCCCGTCGGTGCTGTAGGGCCCGTTGTGCCAGTAGGATGAGTCGCAGACTGTCTGCAAGGAGTTGATTTCAGATGCAGACGAGTTGGCGTCCCTCCTCTTGGACCGCTTTCTGTTCCTCAGGATGAACACCAGCATGCCAACCACCGTGAAAGCAGAGGTCACAAAAACCAGCAGGAGCCCTGGCACCAGCACCGAAATGGAGACCCGGCTGGTCTCCAAGTAGGAGTTGGAGTGAGTGCCTGTCTCTGCAAAGCCGGTGCTGTTTTTGTTGGTAGAACTTAGTGTGGGTGATATTTTCAGCTGAGGGCAAATCACATCATTGGAGAGAGACTCAAAATCCTCCTTGAAGAAATCTTCTGGGGACTCACACCTCAGATCGCTCATAATCACCTTGGGGCGCAACATCTCCGCCCACTGTTTGAAAGGCACAATAGGGCAAGTACAGTCCCACGGGTTGCCATGCAGATCGATCTGGGTGATGGAGGTGAGCTGGTCCAACACCCCTGCTACCGGGAGGTACATGAAATAATTGTTGTGTATGCTCAGTTTGGAAAGTGAGACCCCGGCGAAGACGTCGACTGGGAGAGACCTCAGTAGGTTGTTGTTGAGGATGAGGACTCTCAGTTTGGGCATTGCATTGAAGGTTCCAGGCATGATGAGCTGGATCCCATTAAACTCCACATTCAGGTACTCCAGGTTTTGCAGCCCAGTAAATTTCTCCCGGGACAGGGTGTCTAGGTAGTTGCTATCCATATACAGCCATCGGAGATCAAAGAGGTTCTTGAAGGTGTTGTTCTCAACGGTGGCTATGTTGTTGTTGCCCAAATCAAGTAAATTAAGTTTCCGGTAATCCAGAAAGTGGGATTTCCTGATGGTGTGTATTTTGTTGTCTCTCAGAAACAGCTCCTGCACATTGGATGGTTTAGGCTTCAAATCCACCAAGCTGCTCACATTCCTGTCATTGCAATTAACCTTTAAACCCGAGCCAGGGATCTGATCACAGCTGCATATCTGAGGGCAGGACAATGTAGTCAGTAGCTTGCTCTTTGCGCTAACTGTCGACACAGCAGCAGTGGGTCTAGTCTTGATTTGCCAGTTGACAGGAATCTTTGTACCTCCATTTGGACCAGATCCTGGTGTGGCAGGGTCTTCCTTGCCATGTATTTTAAAGGGGGTTGGAATGGGACCAGGATCGCAGGTTTCTTCTTCAGCAGGGGGAGCAGCTAGACTAGAATCCACTCTGTTCTTTTTGCACAGCTCTTGCTCTGTGGTCTCATTTAAATCTTTGCCCTGCAATCTAGTGGGAGCTTCACAAATCACTCTGCCGATCAAAGCATTTTTGGGTATATTTTCCAGCCATTCCTTCAACGACAGCAGGTCGCAAGTACAGTCCCAGGGGTTATCCTCTAGCAGGATTTCAGCAATGCCTGGGATCTGCTCCAGGACCTCCTCATAAGGCAAGGTTTTAAGACGGTTTCCCCGGAGGTCGAGGTGGGTGATCGGCACATACTGAAACACGTTGGGGGGCAAGGTGCTGATGAGATTGTCATTTAAAATCAACACCTCTAGTTTGTTTAAGTCCCTAAATGCTCCCGGGTCAATATCCCGCAATAGATTAAAATCTGCCTGGAGGTATTCCAGATCGTCCAGCCCCAGGAAAGTCTGCTTCCTGAACGATTTGATCTTGTTGTTGTTTATGTGCAAGCGTTTCACCAGCTGCAGCCCAAGAAAAGCCCCAGGAACAATCTCATGCAAACCGTTGTTTTCCATGTGCAAACTGACTGCATTGTAAAAGTTAGCAAACTCATTAGGGAAAAGTCGAGTCAGGGAATTTCCATGCAGAAACAAATGGTAAAACTGGGAAGTTGGGGCGGTGAAATGTTGCAGGCTGGTAAATCCCTTTTTCTCACAGTCTACGTGCAAATCCCCTTCTATCTCGTTGCAGGCACAGATCTTCTCTTTGCAAACGTCCCCTGTAACGTTTCCAGCAGCAAAACAAAGAGACGTCTCCAGCAACAGAATCCAAAGCAGCATTTTTAAACCGAGCAATTCATTCCCGATTTCATCACAAAGTAACAGCAACCATCCTCCTCACACGGAAAGCAATTCCAGTCCATTCAATACATGAAATGTCCGAAACACCACCAACGGGGGGGAGGGGGTCGAGGTCGCGAGGGGGGAATGCGGGGAGAGGGAGCAAGAAGGGTCAGCGGAGGAGCGGGGGGGGCTTTTTCTTTTCTCCTCTCTCCCCCCCCCCCCCCCCGCAGCACACACATAGAATTGCAACAGCCCGGATTCCAGTCAATAATTATATCCACAAACTATCCAGGCACGTACTGCAAGGCACGGAAAAAAAAAAAAAAAGTAGAGGAAAAAAATAAAAATAATCCCCCTTCTCGATTCTCCCCCCACCCCCCTCCCTCCCTGACGGTTCCCGGGCAAGAAGCTAAGCGGAGATCTGCCGGCCGGGCGGTCTCACCGTCAGGGAAACGGTGCCGGCCGCCGCCAGCCGCCGCATGCCGGAGAGGACCGGGTGGAGCGCGCCGCGGTGTGCGCGGAGGCTGCGCGTGTGCGCGGCTCCCGCTCCGGCTCGGGCTCGGCGCCGGGCTGACCTTGTGGCGCGGGGCCGCGGGGCCGCCCGCCGGGAGCTGTCCGGGCTGCCGGTGCTGAAGGCGCTGCTTAGGCGATGGCCGCCGAGCCCCCGGCGCTGCGCGGCGCCCCCTGCCCCCGCTGCGCTGCGCCGCTGCCCATGCTGCCTGCGGCGGGAGCCTGCGGAGGGATCGGGGCTCCCCGACAGAACGACGGACTGACAGACCGACCGAGCGACCGCGCCGCGCCTCGCCTCGCCCTGCCGGCCGCGCTGCCTCCCCTCGTCGCCCGCGCCCTCACTCGCTCTTCTTTCCGTTTTCTTCCGCTGCTGCCGAGCCGCACGCTAAGCTCGCACACACTCACAGGCACGCAGGGGGAGAGTTGCTAAGAGGCTCTGCTCGTTTCAACCTGGTGCACTCTGAAAGATCTGACACCCTCTGCTGAGCTGCAGTGGCAAAAATCCGACTGCTGAGGGAATGCTGGAGAAAAAAAAAATCAATTCACATACAGAGCAAGCGTTAAAAACGCTGGCATTATAAGCTGTCGATCTATTTAGATGCTTTTTCTTAAATAGATTAATTAATTTTTTCTTTTTTATTTCTTTTTTTTTCTTTTTTTTCTTTTTTAAGATGGAAAGTTTAGTGTTCCCCTCCTCCCGACCTGATCCCTATTGCCCCTCTTCACACACATTCATACCTGCACAAGCAGGCGAGGAAGGTGTATTTGCCTTATTGTATGTCCCAATGGCTTGAACAAAATTAGTGTCAGGGTGTCAAGCGAATAGCAATTTGAGGTAATTATCCTGCACGCCATTTTTATCGTTGCTTTAAATGCATTTCTTCCTCCTCTGCAGTCTATAGCGTTTCATGCTTTCTGGTGTTCTCTATACAATGTAGAACCGTAGATCCGTAGATTATTGCATTATATATATATATATATATATATATATATATATATATAATTTAGATGATCACGGACAAGAAAGGGGAGAGGGAGGAGGGGATTACTGCACTGTTAAGAATTCATGGTTACAGAGTACAGTGTCTCCCTTAAGGAGGGGAGAAGGCTGATACTGACAGCTGTGCATTTTGACATTCTTATCTACATACATAGAATTACATAGGCACGTATGTGCACGCATATATATTTCTCTAGGGATACTCCTAATACGCGCTGTGTGGAAATACAACAGCTGCTCCCCACCCCCCACTCCCACCCCCACCCCCTGCCGCCCTTTCCAGCTCCCACACTTCTGACAAAAGAGATTACACAGCGGAAAAAAAAAAATCGGTGCCTGGCCTTAAAGAAAGGAGCCAGGCACGCAAAAGTTTCTGCATCGTTTGGACGGGTTTCAGATGCCTACGAGCAAAGAACCAGTTGCACCTCTCTCCGGTGGTGCAAGTGGAAAGCTGCTTTTCCCCGTGCCTTGTCAAAGGAGGCGGGGGTGGCGGCGGGGGTGGCGGCGGGGGCGGCAGCCGCCGGGTGCCTCCTGCAGCCCGGGGCTGCGCCTCTCCTGTCCGGCGCCGCCGATGAACTTTGCGGCATACTGGTAGGGGAGGATGCAACCGCGGAGGTGGACCGGAGGAGGTTTATTTATAGGGAAAGCCAGGGAGCCATATGGAGACTGCGCCCTTGGTCCCGGCGGCATGCTAATTTGGTCAAAGCTTTTTTTTTTTTTTTTTTTTTTTTTTCTCCCTGACTGCTGCTTCCAAGTAAATTAGACATCCTGCTGACGATGATCTTATCAAATTAATGCAATTAGACCACGAACAAATTACAACAGTTGCCGTGGCCGTTTCGGGTCCCCAGGATGAAGATTTGGCCTTTGCGGTGGGCAGGGACTGCGGAGGGAGGGGGAAGCTGGGGGGGGAAACGGGACAAGAGAGAGAAACGAAACAGACAAAAAGAGAGAAAAAGACAAATACTGGCTCTGAAAACGCCTGCCCAATAAATTACTAACGGGACAGAAGAGATAAAATGCCACTGAGAGAGAAAGCACCACAAGAAATATATTAGTGGTTTCATTAGGAGAAAAAAAGAGGGAAAGGAGACTTGGCGCCACGTTGAGGCGCATTAATTCATTTCTCCTGTCGGTTTCTTTGACTTTGCTTCTCGGTGCATGCCGGGGGGTGGGAGGGATCTAGGCTGGCTGGAAACGTTCCGTGGATCAAGAATTGCAGCGTCGAAATGCAGGGGGAGCCGGAGGCAAGAAGGCTCCCGTGAAAGTCCGTGGACGGAGGTGGGAGAGTCAGGGGAAAGGAGTAGGCTTAAGGGCGGGGACAAGGAACGGGAGGGGGCCGGGGCAGGAGTTAGCAGAGGCTACCCGATCTCCGTGAGTAAAGGCATGGGGGAGGAAACGCTGAAATTCTGGAGAGTGTTGAATGCTCACAGGGATGTGGGGCAGGAGGACCAAAGAGCTTGTTCTCTTCCTGCCCGAGAATAAAGCTTCTAAGCATCTTTACCTTCGTGTTATTAAAATTGCTCAGGAACCGTAAAAATAATCAAAATGCAACCAGAGAAGCTGAATATTAACAAGATATGAAATAAAAAAATACGAGTCAAATAAAAGGAAGGAGACAATGACCTGCTGTTGAAGCATGAAGGACAAATAGCCTGCTTCTTCCAAGAGATGTGCTGAGAGGTGGGAAGTAGTGGAAGCCATCTGAGGCCCTGGAATTTCAAAGTGGAAAATGAAGGTAAAAATTTGTCAGAAGATGTAACAATATTTATGGGTAATATGTAAGTTCCAAGAGAGAGTATTTAGATAAGGAGCCTTTTGTACTTGCAGCTGTATACTTTGGAACTATAAAGAGAGATTTATATATGTCATATATGTATTGAGAGAGAGCATCTGCCATGTAAAGGTTATCATCTACAAGACAAGTCAGGGAAGAAAAGAAAGATATCCATTTTAGATTTGATATTTGAAGTTTTGGTTCTTTAAGTCAAGTTACACGGGAAAGGTGTGTCAGTGCCAGGAAATAATTCTGTTTCTAAACCTATCCAGTGCCATAATCCTAAATTTCCAGATTTTCTGATCTTCTTGAATAACGTATAGAAATATATATCTTTGGAGAAGGGGCTTGTCTCTAATTGTTTTAAGGAAATACCTGCTCCTGGATGAGGTTGATCAGAATCCCTCTGGTTAATATTTTTTACTTTTTTTTTTTTTTTTTTTTTTTTGTAGTGTGGTAAAGTTAGAGATCATGCAGCACTGAAGTCCCAGTGAATCTGGTTCTTTACAATTCAGTATAAGCATCTCATTTTAAAACCCATACACAGGCTGAACAACCAGAGCTTACATTATCCACTCCAAATTATCCAGTGGATCAGACAGGGGAAAGAGCACCCATGAAGAGTTCTGTTCTATCTTCCTTGACTCCTTTCATTATCTGATGCCTTTTGCCTCCTGCTTCTCTCTGCGGATTCTAGAAATCTAAAGAAATAAGCTTCCCACTTACACCTTTCTTTTGTGATTAAAGTCCTGTACTTAGCCAAACACAAGCAATTTGACTTGGACTTCACACTTGACTTCTAAATGGGTATGTTTTTATTCCTAATATGGAAAATACCTTCAAATAGGCAAAAGTACTGGGCTACTTTTAAATTTTCCCAACTGGTAATCTCCCACCTCCTCTTTATGACTATACAAGTAGCACTGGTTAAGGGTGTATTTATATCATATCAAGCCATGTTTAAAAAACAAACAAAGCAAACAAACAAACAAACAAAACAAAAATAGTTACCACATCTAACGTTGCAGATTTTGCAAAACAGAACTCAGAGTATCTGTGAAGTCTCTACACAACAAAAATTATTACAGTAGATACTCTGCTTGTTACGTACTTGTGCTATGTACAGTAAATTCAACTTCTCTGTTTCTATGGGAGATAATAACCACTTTTTCTGTGGGAGATATATGTGTGTGTGTGTAAGCATACATAAACATATACGTACATATGTATATACATGTATATGTGCACATACTACAAGCAATGATGGATGCAGCAAATAGAAAAGTCATAGGATCATTATTTCATTTGACATTATGTCTTTATTCAGGTTCTGGCTATTCTGGGATGGAAAGTTAACACAGGTATCTCTATATGTTGATACAGCCCCTCTAGAAACTATGTTCCCTTAAGTATACAATGACTTTAGACAAGTTCAAATCATCTGGTTTTAACTTAGGGTAGCGATATGTTTGCCAGATGGAGCTCTGCAAAATGATACAGTATTGGATGATGAAAAAAAAATATAAAGAAAGGAAAGTTGGATAAGTAGTTTGCCTGTTTCCATCTAGTGGGTAGGAGACTGGCTCTGGATTAGAAAATCAAAATTTTTTATCTTCTGCAGTGTAAGAGCATTATGGCCCACATGTTCTTCTTTCTTGGCTCCAAAACTCAACCAGCAGACTACAAGCCCTCTTGCTGCAGCTGTTCTATTTTACGAGAAAAAAAATAAAAAAATCCTTGAACGAGAGTAAGTTTGATTGGAGAGTATGAGTTTACAACCTACTGCTTACAGCATGTACCAGAGTGTGAAGAGCCCTGGGAGAAGTTGCTTGCATTGTGGTTTTATATGAGACTGAACTTGACCTGGTAGCCTTCACACATCAGATATTTAGATTGTGGAGCCCATACTAAAACCCAGACTTCCTTTCTCCAGTACACTTACTCGTCAGACATTGCAATAATTTTAGGTTGGAAACATTGGTCTGAAGAGGTCACAAGTTTTTTCTCAAAAGCTTTATACTGTAGGTGTCAGATATGTGAACAGGTGTCACGGAAGTAGACGGGTTTTATATCCGGTGTAGTCTGCCATAAAAGCCATGTATTCATATAATTTAAAAATTCGGATGCTGTGAAAGGAAGAGGTGTAGGCCAGGCCAGGGTCCTGACCAGAATCCTTATTTAAACTGTATATATTGATCTGAGTTTATGGCCTAGTTTCCACTGTGATAGCTTGCATTAAAATACCTGAGCAGTTCTTAGCACAGGACAGAGCCACAGAACTACTGCTCTTGATGGCAAGAGCCTCCGGAATAGCTGTTTACTAAAGCATCAAATCCTCACATACGTATTTATATTTTAACTTTCTTTCCCTGTTACTTTCTTTTCTCTTCCTGCTATGTATTATTATTATTATTATTATTATTATTATTATTATTATTATTATTATTATTATTATTATTATTATTATTATTATTATTATTATTATTATTATTAACAATAACAATAACAATAACAATAACAATAACAATAACAATAACAATAACAATAATAAATTATTTTCTCTGCAGCCTGTGACATAGTTTGCTGGAATTACATGCTTTCAAAGGAAAAGGGTACTGTAGGGAAGTCAAGGGACAGACTTGAGCTTCTTCCAACTTAGTGAATTCACCCTGAGTTTTCATTGGGAAAATGTGTACTGCTCACTATGCTGTTGGTTAGAAGGAGAAAGGTAAAGAGCTGAGCCACCCATCTCCTTCTCTTCCCAAAACACACGTGCATATGAACACACATACATACATAAAAAGTTTGATAGAACGTAAATGGGTTATGTGTTTTAAGGAGAGAATTTCAGATTGTAGATCCCAGGCAGATGGAAATGGTTTTGTTGCAGCTCTGACCCCAGAATATGAACTGAGATTTTACTGCAGCAATTTTCTTAAATTTCCTCTGAACCACATTTTTGATGTTCATTATCTTGTGGGGGCCTGATTCTCTGCCTTTCCCAGTGCATTGGGTGAGATGGTTGGTTGCCTGATTCAGGGATTGGAATTCCACTCCAGGCTTCTCCTTCCTAAATTTGGCATTGCAGTGTTCAGAACTGCAGCACTGAAGTGCACAGATTATTATTATTTTATTATT